CATCATGGTTTATTTATATATTAACATGATCTTTTTTTATGCAAGCATCAACTGCTGACTTCTATCATAACAATTTTGATTATTTTATATTGAAAATATTCAATAAAATTCATGACTTTGTATTACAATTATTGAAGTATATCTTGCATATTTTATATAGTGTTTCACATATTCATGGTTGTGAATAAAATAATCTGTCATTCTGATATTAACGTTATTACTATTATTTCATTCAGTCTTTGGTTTCGATTTACTTTTTTTGGAATCAATGAAAGGTATGTTCTGTATATATAATTTTCAGCTGTTTGAATAATCTGGCTTTTATCCAGTTATAAAAATCAATTTCATCAACTAGACTCTCTTCTAACTTTCTTCTTACAATCATTGATATTTTTGGTTTCCCATACTTTGGAATATCTAAAAGAAGACATTGATTAAATAGATAAATTGAATATTACCTTTTGCTCAATCCATACTCAACAGATCATTTTCATAAACTTTTGTTGCTCCTTTGAAGAAGTATGGTATTTTGTTTTCCAATATTTTTAATGTTGCATTCATTTCTTCCAAAACTCCTACAACAGGAAAATACCTGACGACATTATTTTTTGCTATCTGTAGAGCCCAAGTGCTGTTAAGTACCCTTGAAAAAAATTATTTAGTCATACGACAGGTAATATATGAAATTTAACAAATTGATATAAAGCTGACACAAAAAAAACATCAAAAACTATATTACAGAACATCTGGGAGTGATTACTACGTCCTAAAAACATCTCTAACAAGTCATCAGAATATATTCGTAATATATTCATTGGTTTCAGATATTTCTTTAATGTCTGATGACCCCTTATATGTAGGTAAATGTTTTGTTTCAGTGTGGTGTGTTAGTGTTGTGGATATTGTTTTCTATTGTACTAAGTATATCGTTTGATTGTGTTTTTGTTTGAATCAAATCAAATTTAATCTTATGACAGTTGGTTCAAAATAGATTGCTACAAATTCTAATGAATATTGTACATTTGTTAGAAGGTGGTTGACATTGTTCACATATTGATATTGTACACATATCCTTACATAATTTGTGGATAACCTTTTCATGGTTAGAATAAACCTGGGATGTCATTGACGTGTGTCCACTGACACACTTATCAACTGATTCAAATGATTCTAAGGCATTAACTTCGAACCATTTTTTGATTGGGCCATTATATGC